GAGATGCGACCACGGCCACTTATTGCACGGCATCTGAACTTACGAGTCTCGGTCCGAACGGGCACCTGGACATACGGACCAGGTTTGTTCGTATCTCTGAAAGTTCGTAAGTCGAATGCTCGTATGTAGAGGAGTCCCTGTCTTCCAGTGCACCTGCCCCCCCCCCCTCCTTTTTTTACGATCAGTGGAAACAAGAAGATGCTCGGTGTATTCAGCACTTTGCTTCGTTCATCATTTCGTATTTTTTTTAAATCCTTTATATTAAGTTCACTTGCTTGCTTGCGTGCTTGCTTGCTTGCTTACGACCGTGCAAATCTTTCGGTCGTTTTTTAACCCACTTCACGTGATCCAATCGAGCTGACATTTTGCACACAGACTCGTTGTGCGTGACAATTAATTTTCGTGAAAATTTTTTTCCAAAATTTTACACTGTTTAGGGAATTTTTTTTTATATTTAATTACCAATTGCTTAATGGTGGCAGACAATCATCTGGCCCATATGTGGCAGCCATCTCAAGCCAGAGGACGAGAGGACTCTAGCCGCCACGCATATAAAGGATTTATAGTGAAAAACTTTGTTTTTACGGGTTAATTTTTTAATAACTTTGCTTTATGTAAATCCCCACCTCTCGCTCACTCTCTCGCTCACTCTCTCGCTCACTCTCTCGCTCCCCCCCGCCTCACACTTCATGCCAGCACGCGCCGCCGCACACAGACCACTTTGTGATCCATCATCTCTCGCCGTGATCTGATTGCGACCGCCTCTATGCTGGCATCGTGAAATACGATCTAAACCTAAATAAATATATAATCAGATACACTTGAAATAGTTTACTCTGTTTGTGTGTGTGTACAGACAGGGTAATTGTGTGTGTGTGTGTGTCTCTTGTGTTTCTATAAACAGGCGACAATTTGTGTCGTGCCCACCCGTCTAATGAAGAATCTGAAGTTAGCAGTGCCCTTGAGCCCCCCCTCCTTGCTGCTCGTGGGTTTTGTCACCGGGAAGTCGTGTCCAACGTCCCTGCCGGGCAGCGACGTTGCTGTCCGCGTGGTGGCCACCAGAGGGCAGTAGAGCGGTTCACGTGGCAGACGGATGGGCGTGGGGGGAGGTAGTAGATGCGTTCCAAAGTAACGTGCGCAGCGCGTAAGACAGCCGCCGAGAAAAGGGCCGTCCATAAATGACGTCACGCACCTAGAGGGGGGGGGGGGGGTCAGACATTTGTGACGATGTGTGACGAGGGGGGGGGTGGATTTGAGAAATGTGACGTCACATAAAAATGCACAACTTTAAATAAATATAGAATTGTTATAACAACACTAATTATTATAACAACACTCCTACAACATCAGAGTGCAGCGCCACATTAAATACGCACTACAATGACAATAGTTTAAAGCGATTTGAAGCATGTTTTATTTTCAAAACGGAAATAAGGTTTTGGTGGAGGGGGGGGGGGGCAGAGCTTTGTGACGTCATATTTGAGGGGGGGGGGGGGGGGGTCTGACTTTTTGTGACGCCGTGTGACGAGGGGGAGGGGGGGGGTCAAAAATTGTCCAAAATCGCGTGACGTCATTTATGGACGGCCCCTAAACGTTTGTCGCGTTGGGGTTGTCGGCTCGACGCGACATCGCACAAACGGATCACGGCCACAAAGCGAGGTGAAACCTGCGATTTGCTCTCCCTGGCGCCGTGTCAGCTCCTCTGCTCCTACGGGTACCCCGCCCAGCACCACCAACTTCCATCCCCACAGCCTCTCGCCACGCCGGCATTCGTTAAAATTCGTCAAAACCCACGCTGACCAGCGCGGTGAAGTATGGTCTAAATGTACCACCACCACCCGCACAGGTACGGGGCCTCATTCAGCAGTGGACTGACAAAGCAGGACCTCATCAATCGATACGAACAACACCATAACAGTGGTCATTCACAACAACCATTTAGTCATTCACAACAACCATTTGGTCATTCACAGCAACCATTTGGTCATTCACGACCGTTTGGTCATTCACAACCATTTGGTCATTCACAACAACCATTTGGTCATTCACAACAACCATTTGTTCATTCACAACCATTTGGTCATTCACAACAACCATTTGTTCATTCACAACCATTTGGTCATTCACAACAACCATTTGGTCATTCACAACAACCATTTGGTCATTCACAACCATTTGGCCATTCACAACAACCATTTGGTCATTCACAACAACCATTTGGTCATTCACAACAACCATTTGGTCATTCACAATAACCATTTGGTCATTCAAAACCATTTGGTCATTCACAACCATTTAGTCATTCACAACAACCATTTGTTCATTCACAACCATTTGGTCATTCACAACAACCATTTGTTCATTCACAACCATTTCATCATTCACAACAACCATTTGGTCATTCACAACTATTTGGTCATTCACAACAACCATTTGTTCATTCACAACCATTTGGCCATTCACAACAACCATTTGGTCATTCACAACCATTTGCCAGCCAGTGCATTGCTCTATCTCTCCACGCTGTGTAGACGATGTGTGTGCTGTATGTTGAACTTCTTTCGCACCGTTCTAATCGGAGGTGCGGTGGAGGAAGGATAACGAACTAAACACAAAAAGCAGTTCTAAAGAAATTAGTTTTCTATCTAAATCACGGGAGGGTGGGGGGGTGGTATTTTGACCATACCTCCCTGCGCTCGTCAATTACGATCGCTGGGCGTTGGGGGGTTGACCGAGGGAGGTTCCGATTTTGATTTGATTCACCTGTGACGCCACAGGTGAAACCCCATCGGGCAATGAATGCCCCCATTTCCAATTGGGGGACCCCGTTTACCCCTCGGAAACCCCGGGTTAAAATAAGTAATATTTAAAAGAACTTTTTTTAAACACGCTTTTATGAAATGTACTAGTAATGGAAGAATTCCACGACTCCAGGAAGTGGCCCCGAAGCTTGCCATAACGTAAGGGACCGTGGCCAATTACAGCCAACGTCAGGTGACCGTGGGCAATTAGACCCAAGCCGATACATAACATATAAAAAAGAATGTTTAAAAAACATTATAATGATAGAATATAGTATTGCCATCAGTATGACACAAGTATACCAAGTTTGCAGTCGATACCACATTGGGAAGTGGGTTAAAATTGAGTTACAAGATTTGAGGATACAACAACGACAACAACAACAGACAGAGTGAGTTCAATAAAAGCGTGTAACAAAAATAAAACGGTGTTGCGTGCGCACAGCCTCCGAGAGGCACGGTCGTGCATCAAGTCTGGTCAAAGCAGCACCGGGGATTAAAGGGCCCCGAGGCTGGCTAGAACCCTACGTAGCCGTACGCACGTTGAATTTCTTTCGCGCCGTACGCCTCTCGTCCGCGAGGCATTGGAGATTGTTCCGCGAAATAAACAAGCCCACGTCTCGCGGAGCGGAGCGATCAATTGGCGCGTGCGCGTGCGAGGAAATCTGAGGTCCAAGGGTGAGTCACGGGAGGGCTACGGTGGTGATTTGGTGGTGGTCCAAAACGTCGTCCCTCGCGAGCTTTGGAGCCGCCACACGGAACGTATGTGTGTATATTTATATATGTTTAACTTTTTTCGCGCCTTACGTAGCCAATCGTTGCTAATCGGAGGTGCGGGACCAGAACATCAAACTATGGGTCTCTGTGTGAGTCTATGGGTCTCTGTGTGAGTCTATGAGTCTTTGTGTGAGTCTATGAGTCTCTGTGTGAGTCTATGGGTCTCCGTGTAAGTCTGTGGGTCTGTTTGTGAGTCTATGGATCTGTGTGTGAGTCTATGAGTCTGTGTGAGTCTGTGGGTTTTTGTGTGAGTCTATGGGTCTCTGTGTGAGTCTATGGGTCTCTGTGTGAGTCTGTGGGTCTCTGTGTGAGTCTATGGGTCTCTGTGTGAGTCTTTGGGTCTCTGTGTGAGTCTATTAATCTCTGTGTGAGTAGTCTATGGGTCTCTGTGTGAGTCTGTGGGTTTCTGTGTGAGTCTATGGGTCTCTGTGTGAGTCTATGGGTCTCTGTGTGTATGTTGGACTTCTTTCGCACCGTACGTAGCCAACCGTTGCTAGTCGGCGGTTCGGGGGAAGGACAACAAACTAAACGCAAGAATCAGTCCTAAAGGAATGAGTTCCTAATCGAGACGATGTACAAGTGCAACAAGCTCCCAGTGGCTCCCTCATATCGGAAGGTTCGCGCGCGGTGCCGTGACCGAAGGTTGGCCCTGACCGCGTCGAGCAGCGCACCACCGACATCTGCGCCACCGCTCCGCCGAGAGAACGACTACCTCATCAATGATCGTAATGAACAATAGAATGTATCAAAGGGATGTCTCGCCGAGTCTCGAAGGCTCGTAATTGAGGAGGGACCTGCTTACTGGGGATGTTTTTTTGGGAGGCAGTTCAAGAAACGAATTTTTTTTGGCTTCGCGATGGGAGGAGGAAACTGGCGAACCGGAGGAAACCCACCTCCCGCAACACGAGGGCAGCTGACTCCCAAATGAAGGCTCCGCACAGATAGATTCAATAATCCATTGCTGTACATAGCATATCCTGGTCGTCACTTTGCCGAATCGTATCCCCAGGCGGCCCTGCCATCCAACTCCGCAACTAGCCAGGCTCAACCCCGCTTAGCTTGCAAGGTCTGACCAGGTGACACGCGCTGTCACGTGCAGCGAGAGTGATAGAGAGAGACGTGAACTTGACAACCGAGATTCTCCCTGCAGGCAGAGTGGGCTGGGACCGGCGCGGTGAAATATGGTCAAATGGGGCACAGCGGAGGTCATTGTTTGGCCGAATGCCATTCCAAACGGCCCTTACACAGAATCACGAGACTGGCCATCATCCTGCGTTGGTCGTGACCACCACGAGGCCCTGTTGAGGTGGGGCGGCGGGGCGGGGGGGCGAGGAGAGGGAGGGGGGCTGAGGATTTTAATCCTCATCATGCGCTCTCTCCGAGTGATCACGGGACACGTCTGCTTCTTAAAGAGACCACTCACCCGCCCACTGGTCTTTGTCTCTCTCGCTCTCCCTTACTCCCTCTCTCTCTCTCTCTCCCGTACTCTCTCTCTCTCTCCTTGAGAGAGTGCACTCACTTTCAGCGCTCGTTCGCTCGCTCTCTTCGCATTTCCTTCACCTCTCTCATCGCTTCAGCAGAGTCCCATCCTCCAAAGTCTGAGTCGCATCCCACATCTGAGTCCCATCCCACATCTGAGTCCCATCCCACATCTGAGTCCCATCCCACGTCCGCATCCCTCGTCCTCTGCCCCATTGCGACGCGCACTCTTTAAAATCAAAAACTCGCTCCGTCGATACGCGCGTCCCACCGCTCAATAAAGGGCGTCTGGGGTGGACTAAAGAGGCCGCTGCCGAGTACCGCGCGTGGTCTGTGTCGGAGCCGTCATGACGCCGCTTCGCCCTCACCCGGAGCCTCCTCGCCTCATGCTGCCAGCGCCGCTGCTGCTCCTGCTGCTGCTGCTGCCGATCTCCAGCCACGCGCAGTTCCCCAGAGTTTGCGCCACCGTGGAGGCGCTCAACTCCGGTGACTGCTGCCCGCCCGATGCCAGGGGCAGGGCCCGGAGACCGATGCGGAGACACTGAGGGTCGAGGTTCCTGCCAGGTACCCCCCCCCCTACCCTACCCCCCCCCCCCCCCCCCACACAGGCCCCCTCTCCCACCACCTTCTCCGTGCTCTCGTCCTATATTTATACGGCGCCTTGATCCGAGGCGCTTTACACGGGTTGTCTTTTATATTCTTGGGTTTTTTCGGTAAAGTCACGTAGGTAAAAAAAATTAAATTAATAAATGTAAAATTTAAATAAAATAAAAATCACGACGTTTCGGAGGAAACACAAGCTTCCGTCTTCAGGTGAAACCGTCACAACACGATAGCTATATTACCTACGTGACTTAACCGAAAAAACCTAAGAATATGAATCCTTGCAGTCACGAAAGCTTCAAATCTGGGTTGTCTTTTCTTGGATTTTCTGTTTGCACAAAGTCACTTAAAGATGTTTTCTTGTTCGTGTTTTGTTTTCTGTTTGTTGCGGTTGCACCCGATTCAAGAGCCGAATGGCTCACAGGGCTCTACCTAATAAATGAAACTTGAAACTTGAAAACTTGAGTGGCACAATGAGGGTAGCTAAAGGTGATGCGGTGAATAGGTGATGGGGTATTGGGAGGTTTAGTGGGTGCGGGAATTACGGCGGGTGCCTAGGGATGGGGGGAGGGGGTGATGGGCCCAGGGAGAAGACACTGAAGGTCTTCAAGGAGGAGCGGAAACTCGACTCGCTTCACGCGGAGGGGAAGTTTGTTCGAGTGCAAGGAGGGGAGATTGAGAGCGGAGCGGGCGGGAGGAGACGTCAACGAGAGCAGAGGAAGCGGGGCGCGGTGGGGGGCAAGGCAGCGGACAGATTGTCTCTACCAGCGTAAGGAGCTTGAACAGACGCCGCGAGTAGATGGGGAGCCAGGTGCATTTCCATACGAGGTGCGGGAGAGGCGTAGGAGTTTGTAAACGAATCGTGCAGAAGACGCATTGTGAAACTGCTGGAGTGGAATGGATGCTATGGGCTGGGAGACCGAGTATGGTCGAGTTGCAGTCGTCTCACCGAGTGAAGGGTGAGCGAGTGGATTTGTAGTTTGGCGGTGGACTGAGTGATGAGAGGGCGCATGTTGCGAATGTTTTGCATGGTGGAATCGTCGGGTGCGGGTGATGGCGGAGGAGTGAGAGCCTAGGGGTGAGGGGCGAGTCGGAGTGGGGAATCGAGGTTGCGGGCAGAGGGCACAAGGGTGTTAGTGAGAGAGATGGGGTGGTGATGGTGGGGGTGGGTGGAGGGGGAAAGAACAGCGGGGCAAAGGAGAACTTCGGGTTGTGGAGGGGTTGATGGCGAGGAAGTGGAGCGGCATCTAAGACTGAAGGGCGGCTGGGCAGGCTGAGATGCGAGAAGAGCGGTCCGGAGTGAACGTGGACAAAGAGAGTCCAGGGGAGATGAAGATGAATGACGATGATGATGATTGATGTTGGTGGTGGTTGATGATGATGATTGATGCTAGTGGTCGTGGTTGATGATGATGATGGGAGGAAATTGATCGATATTTTGAAACAGATTCAATTATCCTCGTTAATTTGTGCGTGGCGACGAAGTGGTTAGTGGGATGCACTATGAACCCGGTGAAGCGATGTTCGATTCCTGGCCACGGCTAACATCAGCGGCGAGTGATATCAGAACCAGGTGCGGGGGAAGGACAACAAACTACGGGTCTCTGTGTGAGTCTATGGGTCTCTGTGTAAGTCTATGGGTCTCTGTGTGAGTCTATGGGTCTCTGTGTGAGTCTATGGGTCTCTGTGTGAGTCTGTGGGTCTCTGTGGGAGTCTATGGGTCTCTGTGTGAGTCTATGGGTCTCTGTGTGAGTCTATGGGTCTCTGTGTGAATCTATGGGTCTCTGTGTGAGTCTATCGGTCTCTGTGTGAGTCTATCGGTCTCTGTGTGAGTCTATCGGTCTCTGTGTGAGTCTATCGGTCTCTGTGTGAGTCTATCGGTCTCTGTGTGAGTCTATCGGTTTCTGTGTGAGTCTATGGGTCTCTGTGTGAGTCTATGGGTCTCTGTGTGAGTCTACCGGTCTCTGTGTGAGTCTATGGGTCTCCGTGTGTATATTGAACTTCTTTCGCACCGTACGAAGACAACCGTTGCAAATCGGAGGTGCGGGGTAAGGACAACAACCTAAAGACAAAAAAGGCCGCCCCAAAGAAATGAGTTTTCAATCTTGATTTTAAAATCCAGATTGATCGTGACTGCGTTCACGACAGCGGGTGTGCTCGGCTGTGATTATGGTCGCAGTGTTTATGGCCGTGCGAGACCAGCGGTTCGATAGCCCATCGTGTTTGCAATCATCTCATTCCATCCCCAGGCGGCAGGGCATTCCCCCCATAGGCCGTGTCGATGCGTGTGCTGACGTGCTTTGGCGTTTTAACTGCGCTGCTCCCTGTGGCTCGTGGTGCCTTTTGACGGCTCGTTACGGCTCGTCAAGGCTCGCTGTGGCTCTTCGTGGCTTGTGCGTAAGGGGCCGTCCATAAATGACGTCACGCACCTAGGGAGAGGTCAGACATTTGTGACAAGGGGGGGGGGGGTTGAGAAATATGACGTCACATCAAAATGCGCAACTTGAAATAAGTATAGACAACACGTTCTACTTAATTAAATCGACTTTTTAATAAATGTTTTCTCCTACAACATCAGAGTGCAGCGCCACATTAAATACGCACTACAATGACAATAGTTTAAAGCGATTTGAAGCATGTTTTATTTTGGGGGGGGGGGGGTTGCAGAGCTTTGTGACGTCATATTTGAGGGGGGGGTCTGACTTTTTGTGACGCCGTGTGACGAAGGGGGGGGGGGGTCAAAAATCATCCAAAATCGCGTGACGTCATTTATGGACGACCCATAAACATTTGTCGCAGAGCTCTATGTTTTCTGTGATCGCACCGTCGGTTTTCGCGGTTGCTCTGTGAATCTCTCCGATGCGCGACCAGGCAGTGCCGAGTGTCGGTCGGCAACCTGCCCGACGTTTCGCAACCACGCGACGAGATGCCATCGGTGGGAACCTAAGTCCCACGGCTACGACGAATCTGCGGGGTACCGAGTATGCAGGCGATGCGGGGGTTGTTTCATGGCTAGGACTCTGGCTGGAGGCTTGTGGTGGTCTTAGGCACTGAGGGTGGACCCAGGGATCGTCAAGAACCGGGGCCTTGGTCATTGCCAGGCGTCGTCGTTTCCCCGTGGCAACCCCCGCGGCCATCATCATCGTGGTGGTCTCGCTGCTGCTGTTGCACATTCGCAGCAGCAGCAGGAGCAGCAGCGTTCACTCGACACTGATCTTCTAAGAGACACTTAAATGCCCAATATCTTTCTTGAAGGGCTCTTTCTGCAGACTTTCCAGTGACGCAGAGCTCGGCTCCGCGCTTCAAGACTCACGGCCACGTGTCTGTGAAATATCGTGCTGTGGTATGAATCGCGTTGTAACACTAATAATCCATCCATCATCATCATCGTAGCCATCGTTGTCTTCATTGTCTTTTTGTTTCTTTCGGTAAAGTCACGTAGAAGGGAAATAATAAAACAATAAAAATAAAACATAATAAAATTATTCTCACGACGTTTCGGCCACAACCCAAGCAGCGTCTACCCGACAGACCTGGTCTTCAATTGAGGACGGCTGCTTGCGTTGTGGCCGAAACGTCGTGAGAATTATTTTATAATGTTTTATATTTCTATTATTTTATTATTTTCCTTCTACGTGACTTTACCGAAAGAACCAAGAAGATGAATCCCTGCGGTCACGAAAGAAGCTTTAAATCGAAATTCATTGTCTTTGTTCATCAGCCCGTCGTGGTGGAAGACCTCCCGCACGGCCCCCAGTTCTCGCTCGACGGCCGTGACGACCGCGAGCGATGGCCCCTTCGCTTCTTCAACCGCTCGTGCGCCTGCGCGGGCTCCTTCTGGGGCCCCGCGTGTTCGCGCTGCCGCTGGGGCTGGACGGGCGCTCGCTGCGAGCTGCGGAGCGCTCCGGTGGCGCGCCGCGACATCGCGACGCTCGCGGCCGCCGAGCGGGAGCGCCTCGTCGCCACGCTCGACCTCGCCAAGCGCACGCCGCACCCGGAGATCGTGATCGCCACGCGGGCACGGGATGAGATCCTCGGTGAGTGAGGCGCGGCGGGGGGGGGTGCGGAGGTTTGCGAGAGACGGCGCGGAGGACGCGATGTCACCGTCGTGTTGGTCATCTTTATTGTCGTGGTTATCAGTATCGCACCGTGCGCTGTGGCATGGTGTGCGTCTGTGGAGTGGCGTGCTATGGCATGGTGTGTGTGTGGTGTGTGTGTGGTGTGGCGTGCTATGGCATGGGGTGTGTGTGGGGCAGTATAGCATGGTGTGTCTGTGTGGTGTGGTGCGCTGTGGCATGGTGTGCGTCTGTGGTGTGGCGCGCTTAAGGCATGGTGTGTGTGTGTGGCACCGTGGCTGTGGTGTGGCGTGAACACGTGCTGTTGCGTGGCACTATTGCGTGGTGTGGTCTGACACGTGGAGTGGTGGCGCTATAGGCTTGGTGTGTGGCGTGAACACGTGGCTTTGCGCGACGCGTGGCACGTGATGTGGTGCGTCACAATTGCGTGGCGTGAACACGTGGCTTTGCGCGTCACGTGGCCCGTAGCACGTGACGTGGTGCGTCACAATTGCGTGGCGTGAACACGCGGCTTTGCGCGACGCGCGGCACGTGACGTGGCGTTGACACGTGGTTGTGACGCGCGCACCAGGCCCGGACGGGGCCACCCCGCAGGTGCAGAACGTGAGCGTCTACGACGCCTTCGTGTGGACCCACTATTACTCGGTGCGCCGCACCTACCTCGGCAACGGCACGAGCAGCGCCGAGGCGGACTTCTCGCACAAGGTCGGTGTCGCTCTCCAACCCGAACGAGCGCCACGCCTCGAGAGCCTTCCATTCTCGACGTGCATAGCGAGCACCGCGCGCATGGCATATCGTGCTGTGGTCTAGAGTGGGTGATCTATCGTGCATGGTATGTCGTGCATGGCATGTCGTACATGGTATGTCGTGCATGGCATATCGTGCATGGCATATCGTGCTGTGGTCTAGCGTGTCGTGCATGGCATGTCGTGCATGGCATGTCGTGCATGGTATACACTGCGCGGTATATACTGTATGCTGTTTTAATCTTGGCATTAGATTAATCGGCTGACCCCTCCCCCCTCCCTGTACGCACGCGGACTTTTTACACCCCCCCCCCCCCGAATCCTATAGAACGTCCGATATTTAATCCACGCAGAAACGATCAAGGATGAATAATATTAACGTGTTTAAGTAAACAGATAGTCCACACCGCCGGACTATTTAACTCATTTGAAGGCCAATGTAGACAAATTATTATCGAGGCTTCACCCCCCCCCCCGTCTCCTATGCGTACGTACATTGTCAGTAGACCCCCCATACGTAAGCGAACGCATTTGGGTTAACCCCCCCCCCCACTCCATGCGTACGTACTAAAATACTCAATGGATGGCCCCTGATGAGTGCATGATTGAGTGAGAGCGCGCGTAATTGAGTTTGTGAGCGAGAGCGCGAGCCAATTAGTGAGCGATTGAGTTTGAGCGCGCGTGAGTGATTGATTTGGTCACAGAGCGAGTCAATGAGTGAGTTCGGGAGTTGTTGAGTTCGGGAGTGGACTGCGTGCGCTCGAGCGGGAGATTGAATTCTGTAGCTAAGTGAGCAGATACGTTCGTGAATGACAGCGTGAGTGAATGTGTGCGTGAGTGAATGAATGAGTGCATGAGTGAGTGAATGGGTGCGTGAGTGAGTGAATGAGTGCGTGAGTGAGTGAATGCGTGCGTGAGTGAATGAGTGCGTGAGTGAGTGAATGAGTGCGTGAGTGAGTGAATGAGTGCGTGAATGAGTGAATGAGTACGTGAGTGAGTGAATGAGTGCGTGAGTGAGTGAGTGAATGTGTGCGTGAGTGTGTGCGTGTGTGAGTGAGTGCATGCGTGCGTGAGTGCGTGCGTGCGTGAGTGAGTGCGTTTTTGAGTGAATGAGTGCGTGCGTGCGTGATTGAGTGAATGAGTGCGTGAATGAGTGAATGAGTGCGTGCGTTATTGAATGTGTGCGTGTGTTCGTGAATGAATGCGTGCGTTCGTGGGTGAACGTGTGCGTGAGTGAGTGAATGAGTGAATAAGTGCGTGAGTGAATGAGTGCGTGCGTGAGAGAATGAGTGCGTGCGTGAGTGAGTCAATGAGTGCGTGAGTGAATGAGTGCGTGAGTGAGTGAATGAGTGCGTGAGTGAGTGAATGAGTGCGTGAGCGAGTGAGTGAATGTGTGCGTGAGTGAGTGAATGTGTGCGTGAATGAGTGCGTGAATGAGTGAGTGAGTGAATGAGTGAATGAGTGCATGAGTAAATAAACGAGTGATTGAGTGCGTGAATGAGTGCGTGAGTGAATGAGTTCGTGAGTGGATGAGTGAATGAGTGAATGAGTGCGTGAGTGAGTAGATTATCGAGCAAGTCGGTGCGTACCTGATTGGTCAAGTAAGTTGGTGATTGAACAGCTGTATGATCCGGTCGGTAATTGGGAAAATGATTGATTGAGTTAATATTTGTTATCGTACACATCACACGTATTAAGACCCTTGCCTAGAAACATCTTGGCAGTTCAAGCGAGCCTGGTTGCTGATGAGACACTAAATGACCAAACCGATTCAGAGTTGGGCTGAAATAACAAACCACTCCCCGTGAGGCTGATGGGATGCGTAAAGTGCGCAACATAATTATTGTCATTGTTTTACGTGGAGGGATATATCTGTGAAGGAATCTAAATGTATATTATTGGTTCTTTCGGTAAAGTCACGTAGAAGGGAAACAATAAAATAATAAAAATATAAAATAATACAATTCTCACGACGTTTTGATTGCAACACAAGCAATCATCATCAGGTGTGAAAAACACACCTTTTTATTTTTATTATTTTATTGGTTCCCTTCTACGTGACTTTACCGAAAGAACCAAGAATATGAATCCCTGCAGTCACGAAAGCTGTCAATCAAAATTTGAATTAAAATTAGTTTGGTTGGTAAGAGCATGCGTACTAATCGCACTTCCCCCCCCCCCCCCCGTTATCCACACAAAGATCCCCCGTATAATAATTGGTTTTTTACCCTTTTATCTGGCAACAAAACTGACACCTTTTTTTACAAGGAGTCATGTTTGCATAGAACACAATACCTGCAGTCATAATGCAAACAAAAAACATAACTCTGATAATGTATACACTGTCCTTGAAGTTGATTGGTCCACACCCGAGATAGCTTTCCTTAGAGCCTAATCTCACATGGTGTTGGACCAGATAACGCCAAAAGGCGCACCGTATAGTCTGAACAGACTGTTGGGGCAAGTTCTGTTAGCGAGTAGCACCTATGAAGGCCGACACGGCACACGAAGGAGGCGGGTGGCCAGCAACCACGCCCGACCGCCTTTGTCTCCCCAGTGGCGATGTTTTTTTTGTTACACACAACACCAGCTACTCATTTGAGGCCGAGTCGACCTAGGGGTGGCCCAGAACCGGTTCAGATAATCGTCACCGCTGTTTGGCCGTGAGCGGAAAATCCAACTCGGGATCGCCGTCTTAATAAAAGCGCTGCGGGCTAACCACTGCGCCACCGCTCCTCGTGTATCTGCACGCACGCACGCCCCCCACAGGGTCCCGGGTTCCTCACGTGGCATCGCTACCACCTCCTGGCACTGGAGCGCGACCTTCAGGAGCTGCTGGGGGACCCGGCCTTCGCCATCCCCTACTGGAACTTCGCGCGCGGCGGAGCGGAGTGCGACGCGTGCGACGACTCCCTGCTGGGCGCTCGGCACCCCCAGGACCCCTCCCTGCTCAGCCCCGCGTCGCCCTTCTCGCGGTGGCGCCTCCTGTGCAGCGACAACGTCTACTACGACACGACGGGCGCGCTCTGCAACGGTGAGGCCAACATTCGCCCGCCCGATCGCCTTCCCGATCGCCCTCTTCATCGCCCGCCCGATCGCCTTCCCGATCTCCCTCCCGATCGCACGCCCGATCACCTTCCCACTCGTTCGCCCGCCCGCTCGCTCTCCTGATCGCCCTCCTGATCGCCCGTCCAATTGCTTTCCCAATCGTTCGCCCACGCACCCACCCACTCGCCCTCCTGATCGCACGCCCGATCACCTTCTCACTCGTTCGCCCGCCCGCTCGCTCTCCTGATCGCCCGTCCGATCGCCCTCTCGGTCGCCCACCCACTCGCCCTCCCGGTCGCCATCCCGATCGTTCGCCCGATCGTCTTCCCGCTCGTTCGCCCGCTCGCCCGCTCGCTCACTGGACGGCTGGCTGGATAAGCTGGCTGGCTGGACGTGGAAGGGGCGTGCGGGGTGCTATATTAGAAGCAGACGCTTTGCAAGCTGGCTGGCTGGCTAGAGGGATGGACAGACGGACGTCCAAAGGACGTGCAAAGGACGTGAGAGCTGCTCGTAGTGATACTAATAATTTACATACTAATTATTTACTTATTTATCCAGAAAATCTACACTGAGCCTCGTGACTTTTTTCAGGAAGGTCTTGCATTGTTTTTTTTATTTTAATATTTCTCCAGCCAATTGGTGATGAGTCGTGTTCACTGCACACTTGGGGAAGAGAACCGCAGCACCCGGAGGTTCGCCACAACACCCTATTCCCCGTACAGATGGAAACAGATGGAGACCAATAGGGTTTTTCCCCTTTTTTCTGGCAACAAAAACTGACACCTTTCGCAAGGAATCATGCTTACATGAACCACAATACTTGCAGTCAAATGCAAAAAATAAACAATACTCTGATAATGTATGCATTGTCTTTGAAACTGATTGGTCCACACCAGAGCCAGCTTTCTTTAGAGCCTAGTCTCATATGGTGTTCGACCAGATGACGCCTAAAGGCGCACAGTTCAAAGACAACGCACTACCAGAGTAATGAGAGCTCGGGGTGAGCAGCTACATCATCAGCTACATCATGGGACCTCCTTTGCCAGGTACTGGAAAAGGAGGTCCCATGAGATGGAGACCAGTCAACTTCCTGTACCACATATTCTTAGGTTTTTTTCGGTAAAGTCACGTAGGTAAAAAATAAAAATTAATAAAAGTAAAATAAAACAAAATAAAAATAAAAATCACGACGTTTCGGAGGCAACACAAGCTTCCGTCTTCAGGTGGAACCGTCACAGCCACGGCAGCTGTATCAAGTAAATGAGAGATTACAAGAGATACAGCTGTCGTGGCTGTGACGGTTCCACCTGAAGACGGAAGCTTGTGTTGCCTCCGAAACGTCGTGATTTTTATTTTTATTTTGTTTTATTTTACTTTTATTAATTTTTACTTTTTTACCTACGTGACTTTACCGAAAAAAGCTAAAAATATGAATCCTTGCAGTCACAAAAGCTTCAAATCTAGAATTCCTGTACCACCTTCCTGTACCACCTTCCTGTACCACCTTCCTGTACCACCTTCCTGTACCACCTCCCTGTACCACCTCCCTGTACCACCTCCCTGTACCACCTTCCTGTACCACCTTCCTGTACCACCTTCACGTGGCGAGTCATTGGTGCGGCTCCTCCTTGACGCCCACGGGAAGGGAGCTTCGCAAGATCTCTGTGTGGTCCACCAACCCTCGCTGCCGCCTCCGCTACGCTGGGATACCTGCAGCAGCCACCTGCAGCAACAGCAACATCAGCAGCAACAGCAGCAACAGCAGTAGCAACAGCAGCAGCAACAGCAGCAGCAACAGAAGCAACAGCAGTAGCAACAGCAGCAACAGCAGCAGCAGCAACAGCAGCAACAGCAGCAACAGCAGTAACAGCAACAGCAGCAGCAGTAGCAGTAACAGCAACAGCAGTAACAGCAACAGCAGCAGCAGCAACAGCAGTAGCAGCAGCAGCGTAGCCGCCACCACCGCGCCCGACTCGCTCGCTCGCTCTCACACCATTCCCCCCGCAGGCGAGATCGACGCCACAGGTGTGCCGTCAAGGTCACACCTGCCAGGTGTGGGCTATGCTGCTGCACGTGGCCTCTAACCGCGGCGCTGTGGAGTGAGGGAGAGCCGTGGCGGTAGCTCGCCGCGAGAAGGCGGTACAGCAAACATGTAGACTCTGCCGCCCATTCCGCCCCTTTGGGATAGAGCGTTTCCCCACTCGGGGTTTCTCCCGCTGCTCTGATCTTCTCCCACACGTAAACACACGTGCATCGATTTGCCGATAACACCTTAATATATAGAGGACTACATCATGGGATCTTCTTTGCCAGTTCCAAAATATGATCATGGGTTTTCCCCTTTTTTCTGGCAACAAAACAGCTGTGTTAAGATGTTAAAACGCCAAACTGAAACCTTTTACAAGAAATCATGTCTGCATTAACCACAATGCTTGTGGTCAGAATGCAAACAAAAAACATACTCTGATAATATATGCACTGTCCTTGAAACTGATTGGTCCACACCAGAGACAGCTTTCTAACACCGTTTTGAGACTAGGCTCAAAAGAAAGCTGTCTCTGGTGTGGACCAATCAGTTTCAAAGACAATGCATATAATATCAGAGTATGTTTTTTGTTTGCATTCTGACACACCACAAGCATTGCGGTTAATGCAGACATGATTCCTTGTAAAAAGTTTCAGTTTGGCGTTTTAACATATTAACACGGCTGTTTTGTTGCCAGAAAAAAAGGGGGAAATGTATTCTCATATAGAGGACTGCAGAGCTCGCGGGGAAGTCTGGTACCAGCTCACTGGCTGCTGCTATTGCTGCTGCCTTCTCGCTCGTCTGTGGTTCCTCCTCGCGCCGCTCTCTCCGTACGAGAGCGAGCCGACACTGCGGTGGCAGCGCGTTACACAGTTTAGCTTTATTCAGCAGTGGATTGATCATGGCTGATGCTGCTGATGATGCTGCTGCTGCTTGAATGATGATGATAACGGCAACCCGTCACGACGAAGCACGCTCCCCCCTCCCCGCCCCCCTCTCTACCCCCAAATCAAAGTGCTCATCTCAGCAGAAGCTGCGGATCTTCTACCCGCGGCTGATGTGACACAGATGTCATAACAACGACAAGAACGACGACGGCTGGCAACGGCGCGCTGACATTATCTCTCCACCGCTCACAGCCGGAGGCCGAATGCCGTCCCGTAAACAAACGGATACCAGAACACAAACAGCAATATCGACGGCTGCTGATATGTTGTTCTTTCGCGTAGAACGAACCAACGAGGGTAGGTTGTGGTGTCCGCGTGAAAGGCCGAGGTCAAAGAGTTCATTGTTGGTCATGTCCGTCGAGGCCGCTGTGCACTCGCCATCGCTTCCTCCCTTCTGCCAGACCCCTGCAGCTGCTGTGATGTTGACCCCGTGACCTGAGCTGACAACTCCACCACTGCCTGGCTTTAGGTCTTCTCCTTGTCCTCACACAGTCGACCCATCCTTCAAGGACAACTTTTACAATCACCATCACCGCTTACCTTCAGGTCTTCTCCTCGTTGTCACACGGTCGACCCATCCTTCAAGGACAACTCTTACAGTCATCATCGTCATCACCGCCTGGCTTCAGGTCTTCTCCTCCTCGTCACACGATCGACCCATCCTTCAAGGACAACTCTTACAGTCATCCTCATCATCATCACCGCCTGGCTTTAGGTCTTCTCCTTGTCGTCACACGATCGACCCATCCTTCAAGGACAACTCTTACAGTCATCATCATCACCGCCTGGCTTCAGGTCTTCTCCTCGTTGTCACACGATCAACCCATCCTTCAAGGACAACTCTTACAGTCATCATCATCACCACCGCCTGGCTTCAGGTCTTCTCCTTGTCGTCACACGATCGACCCATCCTTCAAGGACAACTCTAACAATCATCATCATCACCGCCTGGCTTCAGGTCTTCTCCGCCTCGTCACACGATCGACCCATCCTTCAAGGACAACTTTCACAGTCACCAAGACAACTATGGTGCTGCATCAACAGTTTGAGAACAGCAACATGTCACTGTGAACACCTCCTCAGCAAGTGGAGACTTAACGACAGCCCACGGTGCTACTGCGGCCACTCTAACCAAACGGTGGACGGCGTTGCGAACAACTGCACCCTAAGCGCTCTCCGGCGGGCTGAGCGGTATTAGTCGCGCCACTCCCGAAGCTTCCGCGAGGGCTCACAGACTTAGGGGCCGTCCATAAATGACGTCACGCACCTAGGGGGGGGGGGGTCAGACATTTGTGACAATGTGTGACGAGGGGGGGGGGGGTTTAGAAATGTGACGTCACATCAAAATGCGCAACTTTAAATAAATATAGACAACACGTTCTACTTAATTAAATAGACTTTTTAATAAATGTTTTCTCCTACAACATCAGAGTGCAGCGCCACATTAAATACGCACTACAATGACAATAGATTAAAGCGATTTGAAGCATGTTTTCTTTTCAAAATGGAAATATGGTTTTGGGGGGGGGGCAGAGCTTTGTGACGTCATATTTGAGGGGGGGGGGTCTGAATATTCGTGACGCCGTGTGACGAGGGGGGGGGGGTCAAAAATCGTCCAAAATTGCGTGACGTCATTTATGGACGACCCCTTCAACTTGGACATGCGATTTGCACGTCCTTGCCGTGCGCCAGAGAGAGATCATCACCTAATCTTCCCGTGCGTTCGTCTGCCCGTCGTTCAAAGGTGTTGATTTGAATTAAAGTTCACTTTAAAATCGATAGGATGGATACAAATGTAAAGAGGAGACTTGAGCTGGTTAAGAAGGAATCTTTATTTCCAAGGCAAACTCACACCACACTTACAGTCATTAAAACACAAACCAACCCCGAACCCTCCAACTCCATTCCCTTTCATAGCCCCGTCTCCCCCCATTTCCGTCAATATCCTCCTCGGGTTTTCCCGTCCTTTTATAATCCTTCTCGCACCAATCCGATCGAGGTGTCCTCCACTCCTGGCATGCACGGCAGTGCCCTCGTGACCCCCCCCCCCCTGACCCTTAACCCGTGGTTGCGTGGCGATTGTGTGCGAGGATGTCCCGAACATCCCTCTACAAATGTAACTCTCAATTTAACACGTAGGCTTTCGCGACCAATATTATTCATAATATAGCTTTTTGGGTCAGATCGCGTTATTTATAAATGTGTCGTTACCCTCCACCACCCGACACAGCCAATCAGTAAAAAATTGTCACTTTTTCAAAGGACAATATAATTCACTTCTTTAGCCCACCGGTGTGCTGAAGAGAGATTCAACATCATTTTTAAATTTGAGTACGACGTTTCGCTGATAGTTACAATCAGCTTCACCCCCTCTTTGCCTCGAATCACTGCACCAGATTGAATTGAATTAAATGATGACGTCACCCTGCTGCTGCTGCTCTATTTAAGACCGGAAGCAATAGGAGAGCTTCACCATTCTTGCCCGATGAAGCTGATTGTAACTATCACTCAAATTTAAAAATGCTGTTGAATCTCTCTTCAGCACACCGGTGGGCTAAAGAAGTGAATTATTTTGTCCTTTGAAAAAGTGACATGTTATGAAATGTAACTCTCTTTGTAAACCGTTTGTCAAAGACATCGGCGATCGTGGTCGCTCCGCATTTAGCTCCGTCCGTGATATTCACTCCGTCACTTGGCATCGGCCGCTCTCGGTCGCAATCCAATCGTTCCGTCTGCGTCTGTCTGTCGCTTCATTCACTTCTCGCGGTAACCTCCAAATGTCCCTCGGTCAAAACCACATTGACACTCCGTCTCTTGCGTTCTCATGAACCCGTCCAATAAATCGAGCCCCGCCTTTCTCTAATAAACACATTCCTGCGGAGGGAGCTGATAGGAACGTTGAGTTGCTCGGTCAATGGCCAGGGTCAACGGCGGCGTGGTGTATTCCGCAAATATGCCCGACTGGGAGGGCGGGCACAAGCCGGCGTGAGTAGGTTAAACGTTGAGTTTTATAAGGGCACCAAGGGGTGACCAGCCCCTCCCCACCCAGCCCCACCCAGCCCTTACCCACTCTCCCCTCTCCACCCATCCCCACCCCTCCCATTTTTGGATGCACGACGGACGGACACAATAATCCCCTGTGGGCTGGTGGAACCAGGTAGCTCCTACCAGTATTATTCTGGTGAACTCCCCGTGTTGCGCACCCTGCTGCTGTCCACAGCACGCGTACATACATCGCTCGTACTCATCTTGTGGAACATTTCACATCTTGCCCTGTTAGGAACGACAGTCATGTTGTCTCTACGTGTGCTCTCTTGGGGCCTTTGTTAACGTATACGTCCTTCCAAAAGACAGCAATTCTGTTCGCGAGGGAGATGAGAATTCGCGTGAACGTGACGAAGCGTGCCAGTGAATTGCTTAATCAAAGGCGCAATTCGTGCAGAGGGGACTTCTTCATGATTCATTCCAAAATAATCCAAACTCCGGAATATCGATGGCTGTTGCCAACTCTCGCGCGGCAAGGGTGGTGCTTGGCACACACAAGCACGCAAACAAATACAAAGACCCCCCGTGTAGCCTTTGCCGGGCTGTTGGGGCAAGTGCTGTTAGCGCTCCATTCGCAACGCCAACGCTCCCCACGAAACACATGCACACACATGTACACACGTGGTGTCCACACACACACATGTACACACGTGATGTCCACACACACGCACACACACGTACACACGTGGTGTCCACACACACACACACACGTACACACGTGGTGTCCACACACACACACGTACACACGTGGTGTCCACACACACACGTGATGCCCACACACACGTGGTGTCCACACACACACATGTACACACGTGATGCCCACACACACACACATGTACACACGTGGTGTCCACACACACACACACGTACACACGTGATGCCCACACACACACACACACGTACACACGTGGTGTCCACACACACGCACATGTACACACGTGGTGTCCACACACACACACGTACACACGTGGTGTCCACACACACACACACACGTACACACGTGGTGTCCACACACACACACGTACACACGTGGTGTCCACACACACACACACGTACACACGTGGTGTCCACACACACGCACGTACACACGTGGTGTCCACACACACGCACATGTACACACGTGGTGTCCACACACACACGTACACACGTGGTGTCCACACACACACACACACGTACACACGTGGTGTCCACACACACACGTGATGCCCACACACACGTGGTGTCCACACACACACATGTACACACGTGATGCCCACACACACACACATGTACACACGTGGTGTCCACACACACACACGTACACACGTGGTGTCCACACACACACACACGTACACACGTGATGCCCACACACACACACATGTACACACGTGGTGTCCACACACACACGTACACACGTGATGCCCACACACACACACACACGTACACACGTGGTGTCCACACACACGCACGTACACACGTGGTGTCCACACACACACGTACACACGTGGTGTCCACACACACACACACGTACACACGTGGTGTCCACACACACACACGTACACACGTGGTGTCCACACACACACACACATGTACACACGTGGTGTCCACACACACACACACACGTACACACGTGGTGTCCACACACACACACACACGTACACACGTGGTGTCCACACACACACATGTACACACGTGGTGCACACACACACACGTACACACGTGATGCCCACACACACACAGTACACACGTGGTGTCCACACACACGCACACGTACACACGTGATGCCCACACACACACATGTACACATGTGGTGTCCACACACACACACACGTACACACGTGATGCCCACACACACACAGTACACACGTGGTGTCCACACACACACACACGTACACACGTGATGCCCACACACACACGCACACGGCCGGTTCGTCAAGACACACTGGAGAAGAACGCACGCACTCTACGCTGTAACCGTGTGTTGTTGTGCAAGTGAGTTTGCGCGTGAACTATTTAAACAGGGCTGAGACTGACCGCGCAGTACCCGCGTGTCTGGAAGGTCGCTCATCCCACGCTGCACGATGTTTGTAACGCTGCATTTGTAACTCGTTTGGACTTTAGGACCTTACCCGCTGTATTGACGTTTAACCAGTTGTTCACAGCAACTCCAAACCACCCGAATGCCGTTGTGATGCATGCACGCTGCTACAATTTCGTTCTAATTCGATACCACCCCCGTACGCAGTGTCGGATTAAGCTCAGTACTGGGCCTGTAGCGCATGTTTTATAAAGGGGCCCTAAATACAATATTTAAAAAAAACTCATGGGACCTCCTTTGCCAGTACCAAAATATGAGAATAAGTTTTTCCCCTTTATTCTCATTTTAAAAACTCATACATTTTTAACTTGCATAGTAAAGTAATTGTATTTTTTCATTCGCTATAGAGCCGGGTAATACGATACATCGATAACCTTAAATATCCAGTCGTTCATAAAAGTTGAAGGCGGTATAGTACTATAGTAATATAGCAAGTGCAGAATCACTGAGCCGGAATTGATAGCTTGAAAGCATTTAGCGCGGGGGGCCGTAGCATGTGTAGCTACTTTTGCTACTAAGATCATTAATCCGGCACTGCCCGTACCTTTGTCTGGCACGATGCTCAGTGTGTCTCACGTTACCCGCAGAATTAAACATCGCAGCCAGATGGCAGAGTTGCTACGTCGCAGGATCGTGAGGGGTCCCCGGGACGGAGGCCCTCGTCCAGCAGTGGATCGACCACGGCTGATGATAAAGATGCCGCCGCTGCTACTGTTGCTGCTGAAAATGAAATGTGTTCCATTCATGAATACACTGCGTGCGCTTGCTTCCACACCACGTGATGGCAACCCCGACACACGCCACTCAACACCATCGCCACCGCCCCCTCCGCGACTACTACCTTTTACACCAAAGACAAAGTTCCCCCGTGTAGCCTAAACAGTATGTTGGGGCAAGTGCTGTTAGCGAGCGCCTATGAAGGCCGGCACGGTGCACGAGATGGGGGGGGGGCGGGGGTGGGTGGATCAACACCACCCCCGGCCGCCTTTATCTCCCTCGTGGCGATGTTTACACACCGGACGAGGGATGTACTCATTTGAGGCTGAGTCGACCTAGGGGGGAGGCCGCGGACCGGTTCAAATAATCGTCAGCATTGTAGGTGGCCGTGAGCGGGGCGAATGGAACGCGGGTGCCTTGGCTTCGTAGCTTAGCGGCGCGCTAACCGCTGCACCACCGCTCCCCCCCATCCCGTATCCCTCTCGTGGTCACCCCTGTTGGCGTCACCACAGACACGACGGGGGGTCCGATCCGTCGGAACCCGGCGGGAAATGTGGACAACCCGATGCTGGCTCGACTGCCGGAGCCCGAGGACGTGACCCAGTGCCTGCAGCTCGGAGCCTTCGACACGCCGCCCTTCTTCTCCAACTCCGACGGGAGCTTCCGCAACTCCCTCGAAGGTCGAGAGAGACAGAGATGGAGAGAGACAGAGAGAGAGAGAGACGGGGTCGCGGGGGACATCGAGAAGTTCTGTCCTTGCGCGTGATGGCAGTAGTAGCACTGTGCTTCAAGGAGCGCGATGTCAATGTGGAGGTGCTGCTGCTGGTGGTGGTCACGACGAGAGGGCTTCGTGTGGGGCTGCTGTTCCTCCTCCTGCTCCGTTGAAGGGACGCAGACCACAGTGGGTTTACTGTGCGGTCCATAAGACTAACATTACCCATAGACTCACATTGCCCATAGACTAACATTGCCCACAGACTATTATATTCTTGAGTATGGTGGCAGTGGCAGCGATTTGTCCAGGAGCTCGATGCCAATGTGGAGGTCCTCCTGCTGCTGCTGTTACTGCTGCTGCTGTTGCTGCTGTTGCTGCTGTTGCTGCTGCTGATGTTGCTGCTGTTGCTGCTGCTGACACGACGAGAAGGCTTCAACCAAGTTCGTGTGGTTCCTCCTCCTCCTGTATTGCATGAGCGCAGACCACAGCGGGGTTTTACTGTGCGGTCCACAGTGTGGGTGGCATGGCCACGGTCGTTGTCTTTAATTTGTAACTCGTGAAGGAGATGTGCGGGCGGGCCTGTTCATGGCTCTCATCACCAGTGACCTCGAGGCATGTTAAAGCGAGGAGGTGCGGTGTTTGGGTCTCGAGTGAGGGTGCTATTCCGGAAGTCCGCGCTGTGCCACTATGTTCGCCAGCGGTCTTCCGAAATCCCGGGCGAGATGCTTGGATGGTGACAGCGGCGCGATGCCAGAGCGGAATTGGGAGTTGAGTCGTCAGCGAGAGATACATTCTAGATTTGAAGCTTTCGTGACCGTAAGGATTCATACTCTTAGGTTTTTTCGGTAAAGTCACGTAGGTAAAAAATAAATAATCAAAATAAAAATAATAAAAATAATAATATAAATAAAATGAAAGTGTAATATTTTATTTCTATTATTATTTCAATTATTTTTATTATTAATTTTTACCTACGTTACTTTACCGAGAGATACATTGTTGAGGTGTTTGGCCAATCGCGGGCAAGAGTTTTGGTTGGTCGCTCGGTCCGATGGAGTGAGATGGCATTGACATTCGGTGGCCTCCTAGACGCTCTAGGCTGCCTCTGTGCCCCCGTGACCCCGTCTCTAAATCCTACATCCGCGAACTCGCCACGTGTCTCCGTTGAGATTCCCAGAAATGTGGTGGCCTTGCACCGGTCTCTCTGCCCCGTGTCTCGTTCCCTGTGTCCTTGTGTTCCGTCGCCCATGCCCCTTCCCACCAATCACTTTGTCTCCCATCTCACTGTGTCCTACCTCACTGCTCCCACCTCCCTGTCTCCCACCTCTCTGTATCCAATCTCCCCTGTCTCCCACTCTCCCCTTTATCCTCCACTCTCCCCCCCCCTGTCCCCACTCTTCCCCTCTATCCCACTCTCCCCCCTGTCCCTCACCCTCCCCCCCTGTCTCCCACCCTCCTCCTGTCCCCACTCTCCCCCTGTCTCCCACTCCCCCCCCCCTGCCTCCCACCCTCCCCCTGTCTCCCACTCTCCTCCCTGTCCCCCACTCTCCCCCTGTCTCCCACTCTCCCCCTGTCTCCCACTCTCCCCGCTGCCCCCCACTCTCCCCCCTGTATCCTACTCTCCCCCTGTCCCCACCCTCCCCCCTGTCTCCCACTCTCCCCCCTGTCCCCCACTCTCCCCCCTGTCTCCCACTCTCCCCGCTGCCCCCCACTCTCCCCCCTGTCTCCCACTCTCCCCTGTCTCCCACTCTCCCCCCTGTCTCCCACTCTCCCCCCTGTCTCCCACCCTCCCCCCTGTCTCCCACTCTCCCCCTGTCTCCCACTCTCCCACCTGTCTCCCACCCTCCCCCCTGTCCCCACTCTCCCCCCTGTCCCCCACTCTCCCCCCTGTCTCCCACTCTCCCCCCTGTCCCCACCCTCCCCCCTGTCCCCACCCTCCCCCCTGCCTCCCACTCTCCCCCCTGTCTCCCACTCTCCCACCTGTCTCCCACCCTCCCCCCTGTCCCCACCCTCCCCCCTGTCTCCCACTCTCCCCCCTGTCCCCCACTCTCCCCCCTGTCTCCCACTCTCCCCGCTGCCCCCCACTCTCCCCCCTGTCTCCCACTCTCCCCTGTCTCCCACTCTCCCCCCTGTCTCCCACTCTCCCCCCTGTCTCCCACTCTCCCCCCTGCCTCCCACTCTCCCCCTGTCTCCCACTCCCCCACCTGTCTCCCACCCTCCCCCCTGTCCCCACTCTCCCCCCTGTCTCCCACTCTCCCCCCTGTCTCCCACTCTCCCCTGTCTCCCACTCCCCCCTGTCTCCCACTCTCCCCCTGTCTCCCACCCTCCCCCCTGTCTCCCACTCTCCCCTGTCTCCCACTCTCCCACCTGTCTCCACTCTCCCCCCTGTCTCCCACTCTCCCCCCCGTCTCCACTCTCCCCCCTGTCTCCTACTCTCCCCCCTGTCTCCCACCCTCCCCCCCTGTCCCCACTCTCTCCTATGTCTCCCACTCTCCCCCCTGTCTCCCACTCTCCCCCCTGTCTCCCACTCTCCCCCTGTCCCCACTCTCCCCTGTCTCCCACTCCCCCCTTGTCTCCCACTCTCCCCCCTGTCTCCCACTCTCCCCGCTGCCCCCCACTCTCCCCCCTGTCTCCCATTCTCCCCCCTGTCTCCCACTCTCCCCCTGTCTCCCACTCCCCCCTTGTCTCCCACTCTCCCCCCTGTCCCCACCCTCCCCCCTGCCTCCCACTCTCCCCCCTGTCTCCCACTCTCCCCCCTGTCCCCACCCTCCCCCCTGTCTCCCACTCTCCCCCCTGTCCCCACCCTCCCCCCTGCCTCCCACTCTCCCCCCTGTCTCCCACTCTCCCCCCTGTCCCCACTCTCCCCCCTGTCTCCCACTCTCCCCCCTGTCCCCACCCTCCCCCCTGTCTCCCACTCCCCCCTTGTCTCCCACTCTCCCCCCTGTCCCCCCCCTCCCCCCTGCCTCCCACTCTCCCCCCTGTCTCCCACTCTCCCCCCCTGTCCCCACTCTCCCCCCTGTCTCCCACTCTCCCCCCTGTCCCCACTCACCCCCCTGTCTTCCACTCTCCCCTCTGTCTCCCACCCTCCCCCTGTCTTCCACTCTCCCCCCTGTCCCCGCTCTCCCCTCTGTCTCCCACTCTCCCCCCTGTCTCCCACCCTCCCCCTGTCCCCACTCTCCCCCCTGTCTCCCACCCTCCCCCTGTCCCCACCCTCCCCCTGTCCCCACTCTCCCCCCTGTCCCCACTCTCCCCCCTGTCTTCCACTCTCCCCCCTGTCCCCGCTCTCCCCTCTGTCTCCCACTCTCCCCCCTGTCTCCCACCCTCCCCCTGTCCCCACTCTCCCCCCTGTCTCCCACCCTCCCCCTGTCCCCACCCTCCCCCTGTCCCCACTCTCCCCCCTGTCCCCACTCTCCCCCCTGTCTTCCACTCTCCCCCCTGTCCCCGCTCTCCCCTCTGTCTCCCACTCTCCCCCCTGTCTCCCACCCTCCCCCTGTCCCCACTCTCCCCCCTGTCTCCCACCCTCCCCCTGTCCCCACCCTCCCCCTGTCCCCACTCTCCCCCCTGTCCCCGCTCTCCCCTCTGTCTCCCACCCTCCCCCTGTCTCCCACTCTCCCCTCTGTCTCCCACCCTCCCGCAGGTTACTCGGAGCCGTCTGGCCGCTACGACGCGCGTCTCCGCAGCCTGCACAACCTGGCGCACCTGTTCCTGAACGGCACGGGGGGCCAGGTGTACCTCTCCCCCAACGACCCCCTCTTCGTGCCGCTGCACGCGTTCGTGGACGCCGTCTTCGACGAGTGGCTGCGCAGACACGGAGCGGGTGGGTGCAGGGAATGGGAGGTGAGGGAGGGGGAGAGTAAAGGGGAGAGAGTGGAGGGGGGAGGTAGTGGAGCGAGTGGAGGGAGGGCGGGAGTGGAGGGAGGGCGGGAGTGGAGGGAGGGCGGGAGTGGAGGGAGGGCGGGAGTGGAGGGAGGGAGGGAGTGGAGGGAGGGAGTGGAGGGAGGGAGGGAGGGAGCGAAGGAGGGAGTGGAGGGAGGGAGGGAGTGGAGGGAGAGAGTATAAATAGAGAGGCAGGGATTCGAAGAGAGTGGGGAGGAGAATGTGAAGATGGGACAGAGGGATTGAACGCGGGATTGAAAGAGGGAGGAGAGATTGGGAGGGTGGCAGGCGATGCAATAAGGAGCTCAGGAGAGAGGGGGAGAGTGGGGGTGTGGGATTGAAGAGGGGGGAGAAGCCCCCCCCCCCAGCACTGATGAGTGCAGTGCAGGTTGGTAAAGACCGGCGCACACGGGACCGGTTCAGACACCGCTCGCCACCAATGGGACGACGCGTTCGAGACGTCCTCCACCGGGGAGAAATGAGCGATGTGAGCAGCTGCTGGATAGATTTTTTTTCCCATCACGAGATCACCCAGCAGTTTCTTGCTCACACCTCCATCCCTCCACTCCCTCCCCGCCCTCCGTCCGCGAGTAGCCCTGACGGCGTTCCCGCTGATGAACGCTCCTCTGGGCCACAACCGCGGCTACCACATGGTGCCCTTCTGGCCGCCCGTGCGCCACTCGGAGATGTTCGTCACGGCACCGGAGAACCTCGGGTACACCTACGAGGTCACCTGGCCAGGTGAGTGCCCCCCCTCCCACCTCCACGTGTGCCACGGCACGGTCCCAGGTGTGCCTCGGAAGAGCCGCATTGAGTCTTCCGACTCTTTGTCAGGACGGTCCTGTCAATGAGGGTGGTGGTTGAGGTCGGGGGGGGCGATGATTGCGTAATTTGTGAGTAGTTTAATGTGACGACGATGCAGCTCTTCCGGACTCGATGTGAGGACCGAGATGACGACGACGATGCTGCCGACGATGCCGATACGAGCCAAGATTGATGTTGCATTGCTGATGACCCTGATGATAGCGATGACCATGATGCTGCTGATGATGACGACAATGAAGATGGCCAAGTACATGATGATGATGAAGCTGCTTGCCCCCCCCCCCCCCGCCCACAGACCAGCAGCTCTCCCAGCTGGAGATCTCGGCCATCTCGGTGCTGTGCGCGCTGTGCGGCGTGGCCCTCGCCTCGGGCCTCCTGGCCCTGGCTCTGCGCGCGCGCCGGAGGAGGAGGGCGGCCCTCCAGGGGGGCCAGGACCCCCTGCGGCCCCTGCTCACCGACAGCGGCTACCAGCGATACGACAGCGGCGGCGGCGGCGGCGGGGAGACGGAGGCCGCATTGAGGAGCAAGACGCACACCGCCGTGTAGCAGCCGCGTCGCTCTGGTGGTGGGGCTTGGTTTGTGGGGGGCTCCCGCATGATTTGGAGGGGTGGCGTGATATAGAATTGGGGGGCACCCTGCACAAGCATCGAGGTTTTTATTACTCTCCCCCCCCCCTCCTCTTCTTTTTTTTCTTCTAGTCCGGCGGAGAGCATTTGTTGTCTACCAGACAGACACGTGTTGTTCAGAATCATCTTGCGGAAGACGGGTAGCAGTAGTAGTAGTAATAATACTTTACATGTATAATGCGGCGTTCCATCCTAAGATTGCCAATGCATGAAAAGCAGAAAAAAAACATAATCAGGGGCAACCGACCGAACTAAAGAGGGAAGGCGGGTAGTTGAAAGAGTTGGGGTTTCAAAGTGCTCCGCATCGCGATGCAAGACCGCTGAGAGGACAGGAGAGACAACACCACCACGACCACCAGCAGCGCGATCATCTTCCGAGACGTCGTGGCTCTCCAAATGCCATTTCGGAATATGTCACGAATTCACGATAGTCCCGGGAAACGATGTATGTCCTTCTGAAATGTCACGTGATTGTACCGCGAATCGCTGTGTTGTGTCAGGGTAACCGAGAATAATCTTCCACGGGATAATATCTCCAAATTCACAAGTAGTGGGGGTGTTCGGAGTCGTCTCAGTATTGCTCGCACTCGTTCTCGGCAATATTTGATGGTTTTGTATTTTTGTTTGTACTGCTGCTGCTGCTTACGGCACCACTGATCTGCCGTGTGAAACAGCCGGGCAACAAGCGGCTAAACGGGAACTTCCGTGCGTAGCAAATCAAAATAAACTCAATACAGTGGGCCAAGTCTCTCCGCACGATACGCAAGTACCGTATTGCCCAGGTTATAAAGCACGGTTCCTTTCTTTTTTCCCGTTCCAAGATAATCCCAAAAGTTTTGGGGTGCGTCTAACTTTCGGGAGCGTCTTATAATCTGGAGAATACGGTAAATATGAGAAGGATGGGGAGGGGGGGGAGGTCCCTTATGGGGGGGGGAGCTGGAGGAGCGGGGGGTGCTGGAGACACGAGTGAAACATACTTCCGCCACAAGAGGCCGCTGTCTTCAACATAATAAAAAAAATATTGAATAAAATTACTACCAAGTCGTGACGATTCCTCGCATCACATGGGGGGTGAGGGGTGTCTGGGTGGGGTGGTCTGGGTGGGGTGGTCTGGGTGGGGTGGTCTGGGTGGGGTGGTCTGGGTGGGGTGGTCTGGGTGGGGTGGTCTGGGTGGGGGGGTCTGGGTGGGGGGGGTCTGGGTGGGGGGGTCTGGGTGGGGGGGTCTGGGTGGGGGGGTCTGGGTGGGGGGTGTCTGGGTGGGGGGGTTGGGTGGGGGAGTTGGGTGGGGGGGGTGTCTGGGTGGGGGGGTCTGGGTGGGGTGGTCTGGGTGGGGGGGGGTTGGGTGGGGGGGGTCTGGGTGGGGTGGTCTGGGTGGGGTGGTCTGGGTGGGGTGGTCTGGGTGGGGGGGTCTGAGTGGGGGGGTCTGGGTGGGGGGGTTGGGTGGGGGGTGTCTGGGTGGGGGGGGTGTCCGGGTGGGAGGGACTGGGTGGGGGGGTCTGAGTGGGGGGGTTGGGTGGGGGGGGTCTGGGTGGGGGGGTCTGGGTGGTGGGGGGGGTGAATCACAACATTTGTCTCGCTCCCACCGGCTCCTTTATTTGCTGTCCCTCCAATTGTTCCGTCTCCCTTGAACAGTTCTGTTCGGGCTCAAGTGTCGCCACGAACGTAACGCCCGCGCCCGACCTGCGTGCCACGAGAGTCCGCGTATCGAGCAGCGAATCGATGAATCCCGTGCAGAGGGAGAGCGGCTGCGACACGCCGGGACCAGACCGTATCTGTGCCACGTGTCGGTTCCACCTCGGAGCAATTTCACGAAGCGCTTCCCCCTTGATCTCTCTGTGGCTCCACGTTTAGAATCAACATCACGCGTTTCGAGTATGTGGCTCTTATAAATGCCCACGTGATAAGCCACGTCGTCGAGGCAACCATTTGTGGCCAGGTCACTTCTGAACACGAACTATATGGCTCAGTGGGGCCTTACCTGGTAAAATACATTTTAAAAATAAGTAGTTTAATTTAATGCAGTCAGGGTATGGTCAACCGAATCCTCAACGTGGAGGAATCAATGAGTGAAGTTCAGGGGAACGTACACAATGCTAGTAGCGATAGAAGAGTGGCAGGGATGCAACTGGCCGCTGGTGAGTGAGGGAGTGATTGGAGTACATCAGTGAGTGCTGCACCATCAGTCGCTCTGGCCGGGACTACTTTGTGTTGGAGTGAGCGAGTGATTGGAGTGCATCAGTGAGCACTGCACCATCAGTCGTCCTGGCCGGACTACTTTGTGTTGGAGTGAGCGAGTGATTGGAGTGCATCAGTGAGTGCTGCACCATCAGTCGCCCTGACCGGACTACTTTGTGTTGGAGTGAGCGAGTGATTGGAGTGCATCAGTGAGTGCTGCACCATCAGTCCCCCTGGCCGGACTACTTTGCGTTGGAGTGAGCGAGTGATTGGAGTGCATCAGTGAGCGCTGCACCATCAGTCCCCCTGGCCGGACTACTTTGCGTTGGAGTGAGCGAGTGATTGGAGTGCATCAGTGAGTGCTGCACCATCAGTCGCCCTGGCCGGGACTACTTTGTGTTGGAGTGAGCGAGTGATTGGAGTGCATCAGTGAGTGCTGCACCATCAGTCGCCCTGCCGGACTACTTTGTGTTGGAGTGAGCGAGTGATTGGAGTGCATCAGTGAGTGCTGCACCATCAGTCGTCCTGGCCGGACTACTTTGTGTTGGAGTGAGCGAGTGATTGGAGTGCATCAGTGAGTGCTGCACCATCAGTCTCCCTGGCCGGACTACTTTGTGTTGGAGTGAGCGAGTGATTGGAGTGCATCAGTGAGTGCTGCACCATCAGTCGTCCTGGCCGGACTACTTTGTGTTGGAGTGAGCGAGTGATTGGAGTGCATCAGTGAGTGCTGCACCATCAGTCGCCCTGCCCGGACTACTTTGTGTTGTAGTGAGGGAGTGATTGGAGTGCATCAGTGAGTGCTGCACCATCAGTCGTCCTGGCCGGACTACTTTGTGTTGGAGTGAGCGAGTGATTGGAGTGCATCAGTGAGCGCAGCACCATCAGTCTCCCTGGCCGGACTACTTTGTGTTGGAGTGAGCGAGTGATTGGAGTGCATCAGTGAGCGCAGCACCATCAGTCTCCCTGGCCGGACTACTTTGTGTTGGAGTGAGCGAGTGATTGGAGTGCATCAGTGAGTGCTGCACCATCAGTCGCCCTGGCCGGGACTACTTTGTGTTGGAGTGAGCGAGTGATTGGAGTGCATCAGTGAGTGCTGCACCATCAGTCGCCCTGCCGGACTACTTTGTGTTGGAGTGAGCGAGTGATTGGAGTGCATCAGTGAGTGCTGCACCATCAGTCGTCCTGGCCGGACTACTTTGTGTTGGAGTGAGCGAGTGATTGGAGTGCATCAGTGAGTGCTGCACCATCAGTCTCCCTGGCCGGACTACTTTGTGTTGGAGTGAGCGAGTGATTGGAGTGCATCAGTGAGTGCTGCACCATCAGTCGTCCTGGCCGGACTACTTTGTGTTGGAGTGAGCGAGTGATTGGAGTGCATCAGTGAGTGCTGCACCATCAGTCGCCCTGCCCGGACTACTTTGTGTTGTAGTGAGGGAGTGATTGGAGTGCATCAGTGAGTGCTGCACCATCAGTCGTCCTGGCCGGACTACTTTGTGTTGGAGTGAGCGAGTGATTGGAGTGCATCAGTGAGCGCAGCACCATCAGTCTCCCTGGCCGGACTACTTTGTGTTGGAGTGAGCGAGTGATTGGAGTGCATCAGTGAGCGCAGCACCATCAGTCTCCCTGGCCGGACTACTTTGTGTTGGAGTGAGCGAGTGATTGGAGTGCATCAGTGAGCGCAGCACCATCAGTCTCCCTGGCCGGACTACTTTGTGTTGGAGTGAGCGAGTGATTGGAGTGCATCAGTGAGCGCTGCACCATCAGTCGCCCTGACCGGACTACTTTGTGTTGTAGTGAGCGAGTGATTGGAGTGCATCAGTGAGTGCTGCACCATCAGTCGCCCTGACCGGACTACTTTGTGTTGGAGTGAGCGAGTGATTGGAGTGCATCAGTGAGCGCAGCACCATCAGTCTCCCTGGCCGGACTACTTTGTGTTGGAGTGAGCGAGTGATTGGAGTGCATCAGTGAGCGCAGCACCATCAGTCTCCCTGGCCGGACTACTTTGTGTTGTAGTGAGCGAGTGATTGGAGTGCATCAGTGAGTGCTGCACCATCAGTCGCCCTGACCGGACTACTTTGTGTTGGAGTGAGCGAGTCATTGGAGTGCATCAGTGAGCGCAGCACCATCAGTCTCCCTGGCCGGACTACTTTGTGTTGGAGTGAGCGAGTGATTGGAGTGCATCAGTGAGCGCAGCACCATCAGTCTCCCTGGCCGGACTACTTTGTGTTGTAGTGAGCGAGTGATTGGAGTGCATCAGTGAGCGCTGCACCATCAGTCGCCCTGACCGGACTACTTTGTGTTGTAGTGAGCGAGTGATTGGAGTGCATCAGTGAGCGCTGCACCATCAGTCGTCCTGGCCGGACTACTTTGTGTTGGAGTGAGCGAGTGATTGGAGTGCATCAGGCAGTGCTGCACCATCAGTCGCCCTGCCGGACTACTTTGTGTTGGAGTGAGCGAGTGATTGGAGTGCATCAGTGAGCGCTGCACCATCAGTCGCCCTGACCGGACTACTTTGCGTTGTAGTGAGCGAGTGATTGGAGTGCATCAGTGAGCGCTGCACCATCAGTCGTCCTGGCCGGACTACTTTGTGTTGGAGTGAGCGAGTGATTGGAGTGCATCAGGCAGTGCTGCACCATCAGTCGCCCTGCCGGACTACTTTGTGTTGGAGTGAGCGAGTGATTGGAGTGCATCAGTGAGCACTGCACCATCAGTCGCCCTGCCGGACTACTTTGTGTTGGAGTGAGCGAGTGATTGGAGTGCATCAGTGAGTGCTGCACCATCAGTCGCTCTGGCCGGACTACTTTGTGTTGGAGTGAGCGAGTGATTGGAGTGCATCAGTGAGTGCTGCACCATCAGTCGCCCTGGCCGGACTACTTTGCGTTGAATTCTACCGCACTGCAGTGAGGTAGCAACTGGGCGCTCCACCTCCAGATGTGACAGCGGGATAAATAAATACCCTCCGCTGAAACGATCACCGAATCTATTTCAAACAGAAAACCCCCATGCGGTAGGCGCGTGTTCAATAACGCTATCCAATCAAATGTTGCATTTTTCAAGAAGCACCAAAGCCCGGCCTTCACTCGGCGCGAAGTCCCAAAAGCGTTCTGCTCACATTTGCATTGCATTATCTTGACGGGGGTTATCGTGACCCCCCCTCCTCTCTCTCTCTCTCGCACGTGACAGACGATCAAACAGACGGAGACAAATACAGCAGAAAAGCTCTCGACTTTAGTTAGGAAGGATAACAACAAGACCACACAGAACTAAAGTTTTAGTTTAATGGGTAAAAAAAATGCGTGTTAAATAGTTTAAGGTTGAACGAGCACCCGTTCCTAACGGACATCTGGGCAGTTTGTTAGCATTGACGCAAGCGAGTCTCACTCCGTTGATGATGCAATGTAAGTCGAAATTGGTCCAAAGACCGGGTAGATGAAGGGATGTGTTTTTGTGCTTTAAACAAACAGTACTTTTATTTTGTATGTGGAGGGACCGATACGCGTGATTGAGGTTGTAGTGTCTGGTGGGTGATGGCACGAGGAGTGACGGATTAAGCTAGTGTGGGGCCTGTAGCATATGCTATAAAGGGGCCCTAAATAAAGTAAAAGCACGTCAATATTTAAACACACGTTTTTCTACTTGCATAGTAAAGTAATTGTGTTTTTTCATTTGCTATACAGCCAGATAATACGACAAATCGCTAACCTTCAACATCCAGTCTTTCATAAAAGTTGAAGGCGGTATAGTACTATAGTAATAGAGCAAGTGCAGAATCACTGAACCGGAACTGATAGCTTGAATGCATTTAGCGCGGGGTCCTTGAAAGTGCGGGGCCCGTAGCTACATATGTAGTGGCTTCTACATATGTAGCTACTACATAGGTAGCTGCTACATATGTAGTAGCTACTCGGATAATCCGACACTGGGTGTGTGGTAGGGATCAACGATTTGGGGTAACTATCTCACTGCGATTTTTCTAACATATATTGCGATTTGATTTCCGATTCAATTGTTTAAAGTCAAGCTTCAGTTCAATATTCACTGTGTAATAGATTTAAAACATGTGATGGAGCATTACCACATGATACCACCAACATATGAACTGCTCTATATATTCTAATGCAAGGATGAGAACTTAAATATAGTAATTGCTTCCAACATGTATTTATTAAAATGTTTTAATTTGAAATAGAACACTCAAACATAGAACAATTGTTAAGTTCAATCAAGAAAGTTGTAATAAAAAAAAATTCTAATAGGAAAGTAATGGGACTTTTCAAATCGCAAAAAATCGCAGCCTTTGCGATTTGCTAATCGCATTGTTTCAAATTGCGATTTCGATTTGAAATCGATTCATCGTTCAGCCCGAGTGTGTGGACTGAGTGTCTTGACTTCAGTCACGTTGCACGAACATAGCAACAGCAGCAGCTCATGAGGAGGAGGAGGGGGGGTGATAGTGAGGGACGATGTTTTGACGACACCGAGTGAGCCAGAGGTGGTAGGTGGTTGTGTGGGGTGATTATGTCGTGGTGAGCTGAGCGAGGCGTGATTGATGGATGAGGGTGTCGATGGGCCGGTGGAGGGAGGGAGGAACGGGAGTGACGTGGAGGGTGTGCTCCACAGACGACGATCCTCTTGCTTCTATTCCCCACCTCTAGCTCTCTCCCCCAGCTCCAATTGGCTCTCCCCGTGTCACTGCGCTCCCCGTGACGCCCACCGCTCGCGTTTAAAACCGCGGCTCCGATCCGGCAGCCGCTCTCAAATCCCACGCGTCCGACCAGCGAGTGGCGTTGCCGGTGTCGGGAGGCACGGTACTTGTCCCATCCTTCTTGGCACCTCCTCGTCTAACCCCAAATTACCTCCCCCCCCCCCCCCTGGCCACCCTGCCTGCCTGCCGCCGCCACACACGTGGCTCCTCACTGAGCCCCCATCCTCTACTCCTCCTTACCCTGCTAGTCAGCCCTCTCGCCAAAAGTCAGCCCCCCCCGGACCCTGTCCAAAAAAGTGAGCACCAACCCTCCTCTCCTCCCCCTCATCTCCACGCTCCCTTCCAGCCATGCTGAGAGCGGCGCTGGTAGTACGATGCAGGTGTGCCCTCGGGGCATCCGTGGCGCGGCGTGCTCCTCCCAGAGCCCTCGCCTCCACGTCCGCGGCGGGGCCCGGCGCCGCTGAGCGCACGGGACCATCGGCTCCCGGTGGGGGGCCCGGCCAGACTGCTGCCCCCCGCGCGAGGCTGCACTCGAGCGCGGGGGCCGGCTCGGGCCGAGGGCTCGACCGCCTCCTCCCGCGACACGACGACTTCTCGGAGAGGCACATTGGCCCGGGGCCCGAGGAGAGGCGAGAGATGCTGGCTACGTTGGGGCTACAGGTGAGAGTGGGGGGTGGCGGCTGGCTGGCTTGGGGGGGGGGCAGAGGGGGTGGACAGGGGGTACTGTCGGTAAGAGAACGGTTAGGACAACAATGGGGGGTGCACGGATGAAAGTTGCGGGCAATTGAGCACGTAGAGGAGGAGCAGAAGGGAGAAAAGCGGTGGTTAGTTAATGGGGGTCTCCAAGGGAGTTGGAGGCGGGGAGGGGGGGGCAGTGGTGGGAGCCAAGGGGATAATGGGGTATAGAGGTGGTGGGGGGGGCAGATTTAGTAGGGGGGGCAGAGTGGGTGCGTGCGAGTCGGTGGGGTAGAGCGAGGGGGGGGGGCGGCAAAGACGTTTGTGGGGGGCACAATGAGACACGGTGGGTTGTGTGGGGGGGGGGGGGGTAGCAGCAAACACGTAGGGGAGGGAGTTAACGAGGTGGCGGCGAGGGGGGGGGGGAGTGATTACTGAAAGGGGGGCAGGGAGTTCGACGTGGATGGCGCGGTGATTCGGAGAAAACGAATTCGGCCCCAATGCAGCTCTTTACGCATAGGGCCATGTAGAAGGGCCGATTGCCCGAAACGTCGCCGATTATGGATTTAAATTTAAAGCGGCGATAAGCGGCGACTGTGTTAGGTTGGTGGTGGATTCTGGGTGGATTGCGCTGTTGACGGTGGTGGCACCGAGGCCGGAGAAGCGACGCTCACGCTCATTGATGTAGCAACGCGAATATTCGGAACGCGGGCTGTACGCATCTGCCAATGATGTCGGTCAACCCGTAACCCCTGGGTTTGTCCCGTGACCTCCAGCCAGCGGCGAGCCTTCCCACAAGTGCACCTAGCCTGGCACAAGCGCCGTGGTGACGCCACCGTCACAGAGCGGCATATGACGGTTGTTGTTGTTGTTGTTGTAGTGTCATGCTGGACTCTGCCGGTCACAACCTGTGGCTCATTGTTTGGCTTTCGGCGAAACCCAAAATCGCTTCAGCACTGTGGCGGAGATGGCGTGAGCGAGTGTGGGGGAGATGGAGCGAGTGTGGGGGAGATGGAGCGAGTGTGGGGGAGATGGAGCGAGTGTGTGGGAGATGGAGCGAGCGTGTGTGGGAGATGGAGGGAGTGTGGGATGGAGCGAGCGTGTGTGGGAGATGGAGGGAGTGTGGGGGAGATGGAGCGAGCGTGTGTGGGAGATGGAGCGAGTGTGTGGGGAGATGGAGCGAGCGTGTGTGGGAGATGGAGCGAGTGTGTTTGTGGGAGATGGAGCGAGCGTGTGTGGGAGATGGAGCGAGTGTGTGTGGGAGATGGAGCGAGCGTGTGTGGGAGATGGAGCGAGCGTGTGTGGGAGATGGAGCGAGTGTGTGTGGGAGATGGAGCGAGCGTGTGTGGGAGATGGAGCGAGCGTGTGTGGGAGATGGAGCGAGTGTGTGGGAGATGGAGCGAGTGTGTGTGTGAGATGGAGCGAGCGTGTGTGGGAGATGGAGCGAGCGTGTGTGGGAGATGGAGCGAGCGTGTGGGAGATGGAGCGAGCGTGTGGGAGATGGAGCGAGCGTGTGTGGGAGATGGAGCGAGTGTGGGGGAGATGGAGCGAGTGTGTGGGAGATGGAGCGAGCGTGTGTGGGAGATGGAGCGAGCGTGTGGGAGATGGAGCGAGCGTGTGGGAGATGGAGCGAGCGTGTGGGAGATGGAGCGAGTGTGGGGGAGATGGAGCGAGTTTGGGGGAGATGGAGCGAGCGTGTGGGAGATGGAGCGAGTGTGGGGGAGATGGAGCGAGTGTGTGGGAGATGGAGCGAGTGTGGGGGAGATGGAGCGAGTGTGGGGGAGATGGAGCGAGTTTGGGGGAGATGGAGCGAGTTTGGGGGAGATGGAGCGAGCGAGTGTGGGGGAGATGGAGCGAGTGTGCGGGAGATGGAGCGAGTGTGCGGGAGATGGAGCGAGTGTGCGGGAGATGGAGCGAGTGTGCGGGAGATGGAGCGAGTGTGGGCGAGATGGAGCGAGTGTGGGCGAGATGGAGCGAGTGTGGGCGAGATGGAGCGAGTGTGGGCGAGATGGAGCGAGTGTGGGCGAGATGGAGCGAGTGTGGGGGAGATGGAGCGAGTGTGGGGGAGATGGAGCGAGTGTGGGGGAGATGGAGCGAGTGTGGGGGAGATGGGGCGAGTGTGGGGGAGATGGAGCGAGCGTGGGGGGAGATGGAGCGAGCGAGTGTGGGGGAGATGGAGCGAGCGAGTGTGGGGGAGATGGAGCGAGCGAGTGTGGGGGAGATGGAGCGAGCGAGTGTGGGGAGATGGAGCGAGCGAGTGTGGGGGAGATGGAGCGAGCGAGTGTGGGGGAGATGGAGCGAGCGAGTGTGGGGGAGATGGAGCGAGCGAGTGTGGGGGAGATGGAGCGAGCGAGTGTGGGGGAGATGGAGCGAGCGAGTGTGGGGGAGATGGAGCGAGCGAGTGTGGGGGAGATGGAGCGAGCGAGTGTGGGGGAGATGGAGCGAGCGAGTGTGGGGGAGATGGAGCGAGCGAGTGTGGGGGAGATGGAGCGAGCGAGTGTGGGGGAGATGGAGCGAGCGAGTGTGGGGGAGATGGCGAGCGAGTGTGGGGGAGATTGAGCGAGTGTGGGGGAGATTGAGCGAGTGTGGGGGAGATTGAGCGAGCGAGTGTGGGGGAGATTGAGCGAGCGAGTGTGGGGGAGATTGAGCGAGCGAGTGTGGGGGAGATGGAGCGAGCGGGGGTGGGGGAGATGGAGCGAGCGTGGGGGAGATGGAGCGAGCGTGGGGATGATGGAGCGAGCGTGTGGGAGATGGAGCGAGCGTGTGGGAGATGGAGCGAGCGTGTGGGAGATGGAGCGAGCGTGTGGGAGATGGAGCGAGCGTGTGGGAGATGGAGCGAGCGTGTGGGAGATGGAGCGAGCGAGTGTGTGGGAGATGGAGCGAGCGTGGGCGTTGCAAGTGATCCGTTGTCTGTGTTGCAGAGCATGAGCGAGCTGGTGGACATGACCATCCCAGCCAGCATCCGACTCAACCGAGAGCTCAGGATGGAGGATCCAATCTGTGAGTATCCCGTGGGAGGTGGAGAGAGAGGGAGAGAGCGTGGGAGATGTAGAGAGAGAGGGGGGAGCGTGTGGGAGATGTAGAGAGAGGGGGGAGCGTGTGGGAGATGTAGAGAGAGGGGGGAGCGTGTGGGAGATGTAGAGAGAGGGGGGAGCGTGTGGGAGATGTAGAGAGAGGGGGGAGCGTGTGGGAAATGGAGAGGGGGGGGGGGCGCGTGGGAGATGTAGAGAGAGAGGGGGGAGCGTGGGAGATGTAGAGAGAGAGAGGGGAGCGTGTGGGAAATGGAGAGGGGGGGGGGAGCGTGGGAGAGGGAGAGAGAGAGGGGGGGAGCGTGTGGGAAATGGAGAGGGGGGGGGGCGTGTGGGAGATGTAGAGAGAGGGGGGAGCGCGTGGGAGATGTAGAGAGAGAGAGGGGAGCGTGTGGGAAATGGAGAGGGGGGGGGCGTGTGGGAGATGTAGAGAGAGAGGGGGGAGCGTGTGGGAGATGGAGAGAGAGGGGGGAGCGTGTGGGAGATGTAGAGAGAGGGGGGAGCGTGTGGGAGATGTAGAGAGAGGGGGGGGGCGCGTGGGAGATGTAGAGAGAGAGGGGGGAGCGTGTGGGAGATGTAGAGAGAGGGGGGGGAGCGTGTGGGAGATGGAGAGAGACGGGGAGTGTGGGAATGGCCATGAGAAAAGAGTTACGCGAGCGTGATATTAAACACAAAGCGAGAATGACAAAGTGTACCTAGCCTGGCACTGGCGCCGTGGTGACGTCACTGTCACAAAGCGGCGAGTGTCGGTTGTTATTGTTGTGTTTGGTATTGGGGATACAAAGGCGGTCAGGCGTGGAGCTGGCCACCCCGTTATCACAGCTGCCAACACTGACATCATCATCATCATCCTGCTTCCAATTAACAATTCCGTCACGATCTCTCGCGCTAACTTTGCCCATCCCCCCGCCCCCCTCTATGGGGGCGTCTCCCGAGTGACCACATCGCGTGACCCTAAGTGACCACGATGACCACGATGGGAAGATGCGATGGAACCACGAGAGAGAGAGAACTTTAGCAGACCATGAGCCGGTCATCCAGCGGTGGATAGAGAACGCCCCCCCCCCAACGATCACCCCAGCCCCCCCCCCCCCCCCCCCCCCCCGCCCCCCAGCCCCCCAGCCCCCAAGCCCCCCAGCCCCCCCGCCCCTGCTGTGTGTGCCCTAGCTGTGAATAATAATGAAAGTCGTCTCCTTTATCCGCTTTGTGTTTGACTCTCTGCGGCTCAATCCGAGCCGCGTGATGCGGGGTGGGGGTTGTGGTGGTGGTGGTTGTGGTGGTGGTGGGGGGGGACCCGGCCTCGAATCTTCAGAAGTTGCACCCAAAAGTCGGCATGGATTAACTCGTCGGCCTTAGGAGAGGGATACACAAATCCGACCTGGATTCGCTTTTCAGAATCGCTAACTGTTCCCGAACGCCACGAAGCGGCAACCGAAATGAGTGGGATTTACGTAACGAATGCACGGATTGGCACGGGCGAAGTTACGGCGTGTTAACCGGCCCTGCAATTGCCCGGCTCGCGCCGTTGATGGCGGAATGAAGGTGCCCGCCTCCCGTAATTGGGGAACGCTGTCGAGTCTTTGGCCTACTCTTCCACGCGGATCACAAGCATGGTTTTTTCATAGAGGTGGACGTACCCGCAATTTGCCCCCCATCACTGGACGCTACCTGCTGTGTTCGTGGGCTGCGGTGGGCGAACCCGTGAACAGCTGCTGGGTGGGTGGACAGCGGTGGGGGGCAGGGTGGGGGGCAGTTTAAGAAACTCCCCCCCCCCCCTCGTTCTTTCAACTGCCGAGATGGGAGACTAACCAGCCGACTTCTGCACTGCAAGTCCAGCGCCTCTGACCCGACACTCCACACCTGGCAGAAGCTGCATTCGAATCTCCGTTAAGAACGCGCAACCGTCACGTGCACACAATATATTATAATCGATACCGTGCGGAAAACGGGTAACCGGTTTGTAACCGGTTTTCTCTCCCGTGCGGTTACCGGTTGCGGAACAAAGCCCCCGATTTGACCAACCCTAATATGTCCACGTGCTTCGCGCGCGAGTGTGTGAGAGTGTGCGTTAGACTCGCTGTATTTATAGGCGGTGCTGCGACGAGTCGTCTGCAGAGCAGACACCCCGATTTAAACCCCCTTGAACCAGTTTTCTCCGGATCCCTGTTTACCCCATTTGAAGGCCGGCCACCGCAAGCCCCCCCTCCAGCCCCCACCCCCACCAAGGGGCTTCAACAGAGGCGACTTGGCCCCTAAGGATGCCCCCCCCCCCCCCGTCAAAGCGACATGAGAGAAATCCGTATAACTTGACCCCGCACCCACCTTGTCTAATGCGAGTCCCGTGTCTATGCGTATGGATCTGTATATTATTATAATCGCCCGTGGTCAATCGTCGTGCGTGTGTTTGTGTGCGTAACGAGTGGGTCGCGCAGTAGTTTTTTCGCTGCGCCACGATGGAGACAAAGGCGGCCGGGGAACGGTGCTGGCCACCCACTTCGAAAAGTGCCGTGTGCCGGCCTTCATAGGTGCTACTCGCTAACAGCACTTGCTCCTCCGGTGTGTTAAGGCTACACGGGCGACCTTTGTCTTTTGTGTCGGCGTTAAGTGATTTTTTGAGTGTACTTGTGTGTCTGTGCATTTGTGGAGAACGGTGTGGAGAACGGTGGTTAGCGAGCTTGCGCGACTACGAACCCAGGCACCCGAGTTCCATTCCTGCTCGTGGCTACCTGCACCGGTATTGGAGCGTCCCTTAGGTTGACTCGGCCCTAAAATGAGTACCCGGCGCGGTGGTGCGCAAACATCAACATTGTGGAGACAAAGGCGGCCGGGCGTGGTGCTGTCGTCGTTTATTATCATCATCAGCCGCAGCCATGATCAATCCACTGCTCGATGAATTCCTCCCCAAGCCGTTGGAAAGTCTCGTTTTTTATGGGGGTTTGTTTTGCACAGTCTGGAGACCGTGAACTTGAGGGGGCGGGGTCGGGGGATGAGTGAGAGGGGAGGAGGGTGGGAGGCTGCACATTCCTGAATCTCATTTTCATTTGTTTTCTCGCTCGCTCTCTCATTTTTTTCACAATTGCTCTGCTGCTGCTGCTGGTGGCGGTGGTGGTCGTGTTGGCGGTCCCAGGAGAGATTGGCAGACACTGCAGTTATTTTTTACAACTCTTGCAGCTCGCAACTCTTTTTTTGCAATGTACAATCTATCCTGGTCTTTGTTAGAGGCACCTCGCCTGGTTACACACGCCAGCGTGGGCTCCACGGTGGCGAGATGTTCACCACCTCGCCGGGTATACAGGAGGTCGTGGGTTCAATCCCGACCCTGACGCCTGCTGCTGTATATTTGGAGTTTGCGTGTCTCTCTCCCCGTGTTTGCGTGGAGTTTTAGAAGCATGCGTGGAGAGTTCTTGGCTGCTATACATTTCCACGTGATAAGCAACTTCGTTGAGCTATCATTTGTGGCCAGGTTGCTTCTGAAAAAAATAGCTATATAGCTAAGCGGGCCTTACCTGGGAAATTTTAAATAGTTTTGATTATAAAATATATATATAGCTAGCTTAAAGCTTTCAACCTGCAGCAGGCAGTGGACCGACGACAACCACCTTGTAGCAGACAATAGTCTCGGGAAAATGATGCCAAGTCCCAGTCAAATTGGCCCCTCTGTCAGATTAGGTGAAACCCAAATTTCATTTGGTTGGGTGGGATTTTTGTTTGTTTTCCTTCTTTCTGGAGTCATTGGTGAGCGGGGCCGAGATCATCAACTCCGCTACACTCGGGAACCCAGTTTAATATTCCAACTTGGCCTACGGAATTGTCTATGGGCCTCCAATGTCGGGGTCTGTGGGTGTTCGCGTGAATTATTTGGTGACCGGGGCGGGGGGGGGGCTCAGATTATCAACTCGCTAATCTCGTGAATCCGGTTTAACCCGGTTGTGTGGTTGAAATCCAGAGCTGAGTTGAACCCAGAATCCCCGCGTTGCCGGCTCTGTCTGACACGGCCATTTATACCCGCACCCCTGGAGCCACCGACTGCCTCCCTCCCTGCATCTCGGAGCTCCTTTGTCATAATCGATAATTATCACTGTTGACATTGTGGCGAACGTAGCGGGCCGCTAGTGGATGGGATGGCGTCACGTGAACCCACTGCATACGACCGATACAACTCGCAAACGCCGTAGAGTCTAGCCCCAGCTATTTGATGCATGTGCGGTTTAGTTTATGGATCGATTCTCATCCGCATCTATGCATTTTCACGTCCCCGGCGAGTCGTCGGTGTTCAGGGGTTGCCATGATCAATCCACTGCTGGATGAAAGCCTCCCAAAGCTGTCGCAGCGTTTGCTAGCCTACGTAGGTCTATGTGGCTCTGAGTCTCTCATGAGTCTGTGGGTGTCCATGGGGAGCGGTGGTGCAGCGGTTTGCGCACTGCGCTACGAACCCGGTGACACCGGTTTAGAGTCCTGCTCACGGCTACCACCAACACCCGTGACGATAATTATTTAAACCGGTCCTGGTGGTGCAGGCCACCCGCCCCCTCGTGTGCCGTGCCGGCCTTCGTAGGTGCTCGCTAACAGCACTTGCCCCAACAGTCTGCCCACGAGCTTGACCTCGTCGCTCCATCTCTCCTTGGGCGTCGTCTCTCCTTTAGCTGCCACTCCGTTTTTATTCTCGACCACCGGTTGTCATCATCCCTTCTGCTTGGCCAGGGACGTGCCCTGCACGTGTCTCCCCCCGCCAAGGCCCACTGTGAGGATGATGATCCTCGTTTTCCTCTTCGGGTCTCGCAACGTAAATTCTGACCCGAGGCAAGCCTCGCCGAGCCAACAAGAGGACTTTGATTCTAGATTTGAAGCTTTCGTGACTGCAAGGATTCATATTCTTAGGTTTTTTTCGGTAAAGTAACGTAGGTAAAAAATTAAAATAAAAATTAAGAAAAGTAAAATAAAAATAAAATAAAAATCACGACGTTTCGGAGG